TTGGTTGTCTCCTTTGATGTACAGAAGCTTTTTAGTTTAATGAGGTCCCACTTGTTAATTCTTGCCCTTGTTTCCTGAGCAATTGATGTCCGGTTTAGAAAATCCTTTCCTACACCTATATCTTGTAGGTTTTTCCCAATGTTTTCTTCTAATAGCTTCAGAGTTTCAGGCTTTACATTGAGGTCTTCAAACCATTTGGAATTGACTTTTGTGCAGGGTGAAAGATAGGGGTTTAGTTTCATTCTTCTACAAGTGGAGATCCGGTTTTGCCAGCACCATTTGCTGAACATGCTGTCTTTCCTCCAGTTAATGTTCTTGGCCTCCTTGTCAAATATCAGGTAGCTGAAATTGCATTTGCTCATATTTGGGTCTTCAATTTTGTTCCATTGGTCTATGGGTCTATTTTTGTGCCAGTACCAGGTTGTTTTCATGACTATAGCTCTGCAATACAGCTTGAAATCTGGTATAACAATCCCCCCCCCCAGCATTGCTCTTAGTGCTCAGTGTTGTTTTGGGTATTCGAGGTCTTTTGCGCTTCCATATGTATCTTCAGATACTTTTTTCCAATTCTGTGAAAAATGTCATGGGGATTTTGATTGGCATTGTGTTGAATCTATATATGACTTTTGGCAGGATGGTCAGTTTCACAATATAATTCTTCCAATCCATGAGCATGGGAGTTCCTTCCATCTTCTGATGTCTCCTCAACAAATACAAAACGATTGAAATAATTCCATGCATTCTACCAGACCACAATGCAATAAAGCTTACAATCAACACCCGAAGCAGCCCTAATCACCACATGAACACATGGAGATTAAACAACACACTCCTGAATGATGAATGGGTCAAAAGAGAAATTAAGAAATAAATAAAAGTATTCCTGGAAGTAAATGAAAGGGACAAAACCTCTGGGACACACTGAAAGTGGTCCTTAGAGAGAAGTTTATAGCTTTAAGTATCTATATCAAAAAATTGGAAAGAACATAAATAAATGACTTAACATTGCAAGTCAATACACTTGAAAAGCAACAGGAGACGAAACCCAATCCCAGCAGAAAAGAAGAAATAACAAAAATCACGGCAAAAATTAATGAAATTGAAACAAAGAAAACAATAAGAAGAATCAACAAATCCAAGAGCTGGTTCTTTGAAAAGATAAACAAGATTGACAGACTGCTAGCCCAGTTAACCAAAAGAAAGAAAGAGCACCTCCAAATCAACAAAATCAGAGACCTAAGGGGAAACATCACAACAGATACCAGAAAGATACAGAACATTATAAGGGAATACTTTAAAAAGCTATATGCTACTAAATTTGAAAATCTAAAAGAAATAGACGCATATCT